GAGAATAAGCAAAATGTGACAAAAAATGTACCAAACTTTACCCAGGACATTGTAAACTCAAAGTTTCACAATGATGTCTTCTTTTTGTTTTTTGTTTTGTTTTGTTTTGTTTTTAATTTGTCTGTATTGTTGAAAGTATTACAGATGTCCCCTTCCCCCCCCCCCAATGATCCCCTCCACCCTGCCTCTGCCCCCTTTCAGTGCCTCTTCCACAGGGGGGTTATGATATATGCAGATAAGTTCATTGGCTAATCTGTCTTCTTTCTAATGGGTTTATATTTTTCAGTCTTCAGTTCCTACCTGCCATCAGTTATCCTCTGGAAGTAGATGATACCCACGGTGACCAGGATAACGAAGAAAATAGAGGATTTCAGATAGAGTATGATCAGTAAGTATGACACTGGAAATACCAGGGTTCTTGTACCTTTAAACAGAGGGAACACAGGCAGGGGTAAGGAGTCATTTCTAGGATTCTTCTAATAAACAATTTAGAGTCGCTAGTTTAAAAGAGCCCTTTAAAATATTCCTAAAAGTTCAGATTATCATAATCAAAACACTTCTAGATTAGAATTTGAATGTTGTTAATGTACCACTCTTTCATGACAGAGTTTAGGAATCATGCCTATGTTTAACACGTAGTTGATTTTCAATAAATATTTTCTGAATGAATAAGTGCAAGTAAGCACTTCTAATACTTCACAATTTTATAATAAAAATGTAAATGTGCTTTATAATTTCTTGTGTAAATGTTATCCTTTGGCGTGTTATTCTTAATATTTGGACACTAAGACTTTCTACATAGTGAGGTGGTTTTGTCACTGAGTTGATGTAACCCCTTTAGTGGGGCATTTTATGTATTCCTTTCATTTACTCATCTGTGAAATTCCCCCAGGAATTGTTGAAAAGACAAAATGGGGCTAATTAGGATCATTATTCTGAATTTTTTTTTTCTCTTATGAAAATGAGAGTCAAAGAGACTGTGAATGAGAGCCAAAGAGAGAGTGAGCCAAAGAGAGTTTGGTTCTTGGCTCCTAGAGGTCAGGTCACCCATTAAATAACCTGCTCAAATACTAAACTAGAATGCTGTCAGACAATCTCCGAGGCACAGTAAGGGAAGAAGATGAAGACACATCACAGCCCTCAAATACCACACAATCCAATTGGAAAAGTCAGATCCATACAAATGAAAAGATAACTTACAAGGCAACAAACAGTGCTAAGGGAGCATTATACATTATAAATTATCTAAGGAACAAGAAAGTTGAATCAATTCTAAGTGGGAGGTCAGGGTGAAGTAGGTTGTGAACTGGGCCTTTCTGATAACAGGATTAACTAGGTCAGTGATGGCGAACCTTTTGAGCTCGGCATGTCAGCATTTTGAAAAACCCTAACTTAACTCTGGTGCAGTGTCACATATAGAAATTTTTTGATATTTTCAACCATAGTAAAACAAAGATTTATATTTTTGATATTTATTTTATATATTTAAATGCCATTTAACAAAGAAAAATCAACCAAAAAAATGAGTTCACGTGTCACCTATGAAACGCGTCATAGGTCCGCCATCACTGAACTAGGTTAAGAAAAGAAAATACTTCTCAAGAAAAATACAATTTAAGCAAAGATTTGAAGATGAGCTAACTCATATTTGGAGTATAGATTAAGATATATAGAAATGAAATATGTGATTATCTGAACCTAATTCTGCAGTCATTTGTATGTGTCAGGCAGTTGGTCCAGACCCTGGGGATATAAAACTGAACAAGGTGGATCCTACTCTCAAGGAGCTTAGACTGTACTGGGAATCAGAGAAGTGGGAGGTCCATTATAGGACTATGGAGGTGCTCACACAGAGGCGTGCAAGAGGTATTTGGTGAGTAAGAGTAGAACAACTAACCAAATGCAGGATAAAAGAAAATTATTCCAGTAATTGATCAAATGGAATGAAAGAGGAGAGTGTAGAAAATAAAGTGCATTATGAAGAGGTAGAAATTGCATATAAATGAGAAAAGAGGAATTAAATAGCACAGCAATTTTGAGGAACCCAAGGTCCACATGCATGGGGTGCAGACTGGACAAGAGCAAGATATGAGGCTAAGGAGAGCAGCAGGTAGACATTGGCAGCCCTGAGTTTAGCTTTCCAGGGGCAATGAGAAGTCACTGGGGGTATTTAAGTAGGAGAGTGGCATGTTAGATGGTTACTCTGACAACAAATTATCTAGGGGATAAATTATAGAGAGGTAAACTAGGAAGCAGAAGTCCTCTCACAAGGACCTTGCAATAATCTGGGTGAGAGATAATTATGTTCTCATCTAAGTAGTTGACTTAAAGTTAGAAAAAGAACCAACTTAAAATGGCAGGATGACAGATGGGAAGGGCAAAGAAACCATATGAAATACCATAAAGAAGCTAATTATTAACAAAGAATGAAAAATTTATATAATATTTAGCATCTGGGAGATCTTTAGTGCTTTTTATCAGAGCATTTTCTGTTCAGAAGATGCAAGTAAGTCAAAGAGTAGATGTGAGGTAGCATGGAAGAGACAATGAGTATAGACTCCTCTTTTAAAAATCTTGGATATGAGTAGAAGGCAAGAGCTAAGAGTCTGAGGTATTCATTACATCTAGTTTTTAACTTGGGAGAAAAACAGCATTTTATCGAATCAGCCTTAGAGGAAGGATTTGTATAACAAAAAAGACTGTACAAAAGAAAGCAGTGATAATTAGTGAACCAAAGCCTCTGAGGTCACAAAAGGACTTATTTTAAAGGACTTGGAGTATAGGGTGAATATTTGGTCTACAGGAGGGAAAGTCAGGTGTTACAGGAGATAAATGCATAGATCTAGATATAAGAAATCCCATATAATAAAAGGCTAATATGCAAATTATCCCCTCGACCAGGAATTTGACCAGGGGCCAAGGCTGGCTGGCCAACCACCCACAGCCCCTCCCCCCAGCTGGCTTGGCCTAATCGGGGTGAGCCAGCTAAACCCCACCTGTGCAGGAATTCATGCACCGGGCCTCTAGTATACAATAAGAGCCTAGAGTTCATGGGAGATTGATAATGGAAAATAAAGAATAGATGTGAAAATACTGATAACATGAAACATAAATAATTCTTAAAAACATTATACTAAATGAAATAAGCCAGGCACAAAATACCATGTATTGCATGATTCCACATATATGAAATGTCCAAAATAGGGAAATCTATAAAGATAGAGTAGATTAGTTGTCTGAAAATGGAGGAGATGGTGAGAATGGGAGTGATAGCAAGAGTACAAGGTTCCATTTTGAAGTGATGAATATTCTCTGAAATTGATGTGGTGATGGTTGCACAACCCAGTGAATATAGCAAAAGCCACTGAATTGTATACTTGAAATGGATGAATTGTATGAAAATTAGATCTCAATCAAGTTGTTGGGGAGAAAAAAAAGCAAATAAATGTGAAAGATGTTATGGGGAATAATGAATAGGACATGATGATTTTGGGAACTCTACCCTTATATTTTATTAAAAAACCAAACATCATGAATTGACCAAACTGCTTACTTGAATTACAAAAGTAAAATAATTCAATATTAAAATAAGAAACTGTCTACAAATCTCTGGCAGTAATAAATTACAATACACAATGCATACAGGAGTGATACACAGCAACAATCTCTCATACAAAATAAAGTACTTCAATACCTTTAACATCTAATTTTTTTTAAATCGTTCATGAAAAATATTTTCAAGTCAGAATTAACACCTCAAATAGTCAAGTATCAGGAAGATACATTACAGCTATTTAATATATAAAGAAACATCCTTTCACCAGTCATTTCCTTCTAATGTTTCTGCTTCCTTCTCTATATTCCTCACTCCATCATTTCTTCAGATAATGCAAACACAATTTGTTGAGCACTAGAAATCTGTTGATATAATTTGTGTAAACCATAACATTTTGTTGTTGACCATCTGAAATTATTAAGCCAGATGGTAACTAGTTAGTAAATGCCTTTTCTATTGGCTCTACTTAGTTCATCTGTAGCTGTGATTGCTCGACCAATTCCTTTCTCTCCTTCCATTGCCTCTCTGAATTTCTGAAGGTATAACTTTAGAGGTTCTGCATAATTGTCAAAGCCTAAGGTATCATGGTAGAGATAATATCTTCTCCATTGACTGGCTTCCATTTCTCTTGATGGCATCTTTCACTTGCTTCAAATGTTATAGAACTGATGGAATCAGGTGTCCATTCTTAAGCACATTCTTTAGAATTTTTTGCTATCTTTTCTGTTTGAGGTATAGTATTTTTCATTATACTTGCCACATTGGCAATTGGAGGACAATTTCTTGTTCTCTGAAACTTTCTTTTGAACTATTTCTGTCTTCATGATCATTCATGCTGTTCCCAGTACCTGCATGAGGCTAGATAGCATAATGACTTCCTCAATATAGTCTGCAGAAATTCCTAATTGAGCAGCATCTGTTATAGAACTGTCACCATCAATTGTCATGAAATACTGTCAGAACTGTGTTGTTAGTAGTGTACAAGAACATATAGATAAAAAAGGATCATACTAAAATACTATGAAGACTATTTGCCACCAAATTCAATAACATAGAAGAAATTGATAAGTTTCTAGAAATATGTAACCTTCTAGATTGAATCATGAAGAATTGGAAAATCTAAAGAGACCAATGAACAGTGAGGAAATTGAAAAAAACATCAAAAACCTCCCCAAAAAAATAAAAGTCCAGGACCAGATGGCTTCATTAGTGAATTCTATCAAACATTCAAAGAAGATTTGGTATCTATCATTCTCAAACTCTTCCAAAAAATTGAAGAGGCAATACTTCCTAACATATTTTATGAGGCCAACATAACCCTGATACCAAAACCTGGCAAGGATAACACACACAAAAAAGAAAACTACCGCCACCACTGTACTGGTAGCTATCAGCCTGGCTTTGGCTAAGCAGAGCTCCCCCATGTGAGAGCCCCCTGACCACCAGAGGGCAGCTCCTGCATTAAGCATCTGCCCCCTGGTGGTCAGTGTGTGCCATAGTGACCAGTCATTCCCAGTCGTTCTGCAGTTAGGGTCAGTTTGCATATTACCCTTTTATTATATAGGATAGAGGCCTGGTGCACGGGTGGGGACTGGCTGGGTT